AAGCTAATCAATCCATTAGTACTTATCTGTATCAATAAATATTAAATTACACTCTGAGTGTTATACTTACCCATGCTTCTGTATAGCATGATAGTCCAAACTGCAGTGGTGAAGGTAAGGGCACACTAGTAGCATAATCATCTTCATTCCTTATTGTTGAATAGTTAGTTGGATAAAGGAAAGGAAGGTAGTTGCCCTCAGAGCTAACAAGGAGACCATTGAAGTAGATAAGTATCACAAACACTATCATTATCATCATCTTTTGGTGCAGAATTGGATCAACTTATACTGTGCTCTTGTGTTGCTTTAATAGCCTTGTTTTATAAACTATTTTTAATAACCTGTATCTAGTTAATTACAACCCATGTTGCAGTCTTTCCCTTTAGAATATACCATATATGCCATATATTTTGTGGGGATTAAATTTTTTTGTGATTTTTGCATTTTGAAAAAAATTGCGAAATTAAAATCTGCAAAATAGCATGCTGGTTGTATAGTAGGTGTGTTAATGACATTAAAATCAGAAAATTTTTATTTGCGAATACAAAAATGCAGCCAAATCACAAAATTTTATACCCACGAAATATATGGCGTATACAGGATAGCACCACTTAGATTTCATGTATTTGGCAATATTGTTAGAAATTGACGCACTCAAACTTTATTATTGTACAACTATCTACATTATATTTACTGCAAACCATTTATAATGTATACTTGTCATGTGGTACTAGTGTTGTTTTAGTTAACAATAAGGCAATTCAAACTAAATTACTTGTTTTACGGATTTTTTTTCTCTAAAATAGAGCAGGCCGGTCGGAATAAATTAAAATATAAACAATGAAATTAATTAACTACTCATTAATTAACTTTAATAATTGTTAGTTAACCACAACTTTTTAAAACAAACTATCAAAATACTCTAGCAACTTCTGTGAGTGTAGGCTTATTTAACATGAATGGCTGCTCTAACAAGTCCCAAACAGTAGATGCCACAGAGGTTTGACATACAGTGGAAGGTAAGATAGAGGAGCTTGCTCTTTTAACAGTAACAAATACATTTAGCGCCATTTTGAATATAAGCCACACCCACCACGTGGTACTGCGCATGCGCATTAG